GAAATCCCTTACAATTAAGACGCTATCAGTATGTCCGGCCACGATAAGAGTTGAATTCGTCAATCAGAATATGCATATACATATACGAATATGCAGAGGCACAAGTATGTGTGGGCGTCTGTTTGTCGACTTCGCCGTATCTTATCAAATTTAGTTAACCCAACCAAGACAGCCAAGTTAACTGCTTAACCAAAAACAGGCGGCACCATTTGGCGTCTACGCAATGTGAATAGCATTGAAAATTATATTGAAAATAAATTTGGTTATGAATTAAAGCAATTGCCCCTGATAATGCAGGATGCATAAACAAATTGTTTAGCGCTGTTGTTGTTGCAGCTGTGGTTGTTGTTATTATATATTGTTGTTGCAGCTATTTCATATATGCACTGATCACGCATACACGCAAGTACACTCGCACACAATCAAATTGCACACTTGACAGCTGCATTTGTTGCACATTATGAACACAATTTTTTKTTTTGTTTTTTTTTTTTTTTTTCGCAATTTTAGCAATTTTTTACATTTCTTTCATAAAGGCACTCAGTTGTTGTTGTATTTATTATTGCTGCTGATGTTGAGGCTGCACGGCGGCGACGTCCGAAGCCAGCACCTCCATTCGCTTGCAAGTTGTCGTTGCGACTGAGCTTTCGTACGACAAGTCCGCAGCGAACAAGTGTCGGTTGCCTGAAGCTCGCCGCAAAGCAACGCAACGCAGGGTCGTCGACGCGACGTTGACGCCGACGCCGACGCGCATTTCCAGTTTACAGTTCGTACGGATCGTGCGTGCTTAGCCAACCAACAACAACGCAGCGCAGTGCGCGATTCGCCGCATGTTGAATTCGCCGCTGTGCGTGTGCGCCCAATTGACAGCTCATACAGTAGTAATACAAACATCCACACACACACACACACACACACATACATATTGAACAATTGAAATTGTATATATGTAGGTATATGCAATAAAATATATAAAAACAATAAATAGCGGAAATACGGTAATGTTTTGACAGTTGAGTATAATTTATATACCCTGTAACCAAAAATGGGTAAGTCTGAGTTTAATTTAGTAGTCCGAGTGTATGTAACAATGCGAGGAAAGCATCTCCCCCACTCTTTATATAGTATTCATGTTCTTGTGCGATTTGAGTATCTTTTGACATTATCAATACTCATACAAGGATATATTAACATTGAAATAGGAGTTCATTTATTACAGTATTACGTGGTAAAATTGTAGGAACTACAGGATTTCCATCCGAAGTTTTATATTTTATTTTGGTTTACTAAAAAGTAATCCAAGTCCTAGCACGTATGACGATTCCAAAGAAAAACTTATGAATTTGATATTTGGATCTAAGAGTTGATCATTAATCACAATGTTTGACATATTCATATATTGTTTAATATTTCTAACCTTTTCTTTGCATGCAATATTTAATTTAAATATTTTAGCTTCTGTTTGTTTTTTGGCTAACAGATTTGTTAACACTTCCGCGTTGCAAGATGTATGAATAATGAGCAGAGCCAAGCCGCTGCTTAAGCAATTAATCTGGGTACTTGTGAACACTTGGCAAGCGGGTTTTTATTGCAAAATGAAAAGGTTAATAAACAAGGCGACTGTTGCGCATGAATTCCAGAAGTTTACGACAAAGAAAGCGACACAGCTAGTGGCAAATAAATTACAAAATGCGACACTGATTAAGCCAAACGCAGCCTCGACTCCAAAGCGGGGAAGAGTAGGAGATGCCGATGCCGATGCCGATGCTGATGCTGTTGCTGTTGTTGCGTCCGTGGTTGAGGCCATGCCTAAAAAGGCCAGGCCAAGTTTATAAAAATAACAAATAACAAAGTAAAACAATAATAAATGTGACAACGTCGCACCTCAGAGGTTGTCTGTGCAGCGTTGTTTTGAGTAATATGCAAATATGTTTTAAATACACAAACGAATAAATTAAATGAACTGCAGCAAGGAAATCCAACGGGCAGGACACACGCCCACGCAACGAGACCCCCCTGAAAACTCTGAAGCGGGTTAATTGCAGTTGGCACAAAGAAATCGCAGACACTGTATAAATTTACAGTAAGCTGACTAAGTCAAGAGGCGAGTCTGTAGTTTCCCTCTTCACACAATGACTGGCCCGAAAACTCAACTTGTGACACTTACAGGAACACGAGAGTTTCACCTGCCTTATATGGCCCAATGCTTAAATTGTCGCTCTCTTGCAATGGGACTACTTGACGTTCCTTTTTAATGTCTGGATCATTAAAGAAACGATCGTTAAAAAGCCATTCAAAAGAAAAAGCCCAACACTGCAGGAGTCGAAGCGTGGGCAGGACATTGTCATGAGTCCGCATCAGACGCAGCACACTCCATATAGATATTTGCCGATAAGACCAAGAAATCAGAGATGAAAAGTCTCGTGAAACAGAAGCTACATAAATTCAAGAAGAGGACACATTTAGATGAATTTGATCAGTTACATTTATCCAGTAAGAGAGCAATGAGGTAAGTTGATTGAAATAATACGAATAACAACATATACTTGAGTGTTCTCAACCTATCTCTAAGGCATATATAAATTGAAATGGCTTATTACATAATAAATAGATCGTTAGAATGTTGCACGTTCACATGACTAGGCTAAGCTTTAAGAAACTGAATAGATATTGTGATATATGATATTGTGATATATTTCTCAGTTCTTAATTATATAAAGAAAACCTTAGCCTCTACTAAATAGACCCCTTAAAAATTAAGAATAGGTGAACAATTAATTAATCTGAATATACATCTAAATATCTAAAATATACATCAAGAATTTTATAGCTTACAGCCTAGTTGAACTACAGCATATCTGAGCTACTTACGTTGGCTCCTTGGATATATGAGATGAATTTGCATCAATTTCATGCCTCCGTCGCTTGGCTGCCGATCTGGTGTGATGCGTCTTGGTTAGCCGCGGACTAATTATAAAGAACAAAATGCCAACGATACTATAATGCAAGCGAAATAGTGACTAATTTTTGAGTTTTTGGCTAAGCATATGGCCGCTACTCATTGAGCAATATTTGCCCTTGGTGACATACAAATATGATCTACTTATATACATTTTGAGTAGAAATATGCAACTTACGGCGACGGTGCATCAGCTAAGGGTGGCGACAGATCGCCAGTATCAAGCCGTCTACGTTTCTCTCGTGTGCCGGCCGAGGAGCGATCCCTCGAATGATGGCGTCTTCTAGTTCGTGGCATCTGTAAAGTGAAGTGAACAAATCAAGAAATATATAAATATACATTTAGTGTTATTCACATGCGCATAGTGTTTTAAATACACGAGCATTGTGCCTACGTCACAAACGCAGTTTGAGCGCAGCACGGCAAAGCATAGTATTTTACATTTGGTCAAACCAAAGGCAAACGCAAGTGCCACTGTGTGTGTGAGTATGTCTTCCATTTACAATGCCGATGCGAGTAGCTGTGTGTGTGCGATTGTGCTTCGTTTGTGTGTGTGTGTGGGGGGCTTCATTCTTGCCTGTACTTTGGGCAAGAGGATTTGGGGGTAAGGCATAGCATACCTTTAACGCTTGATATTTCGTTGCTTTTTGTTAATGGAGCACGCTAAACTTGTTTTGCTGTAGCAGCTAAATCCAAAATCAGCGCGAAAATTGATTTTTGTGTGTATTGTCTTGTGTTGTTGTTGGCCGCTTGCAAAGCGTCTGTCGAATTTACGCAGCTGCTATCTGGCCACTTTTGGCAGGCATATGTTAACTGCAGCACCAAACACACAGACTCTTTTGGTGTTTTAGACCGTAACCTAGGTACAAAAACACGCTTATCACTTTATAAATATGATTTTCTTTTTATGAAAATCGTGTTTTTTCTACACATATTTCATGTCACTTTCATTAAATTCACCACGTCTGATGAGAGCTGCCATCTTTGCGTACTAAATGCTTGGAACTGCCAACTTGCGCGAAACAAATACAACAATAGTAAAATACAGATTCTAGTATTTCTAACTTCTGGCGGTCATTATTTAAATGCCATTTTTTAATTAGATCTTTCGTACAAATTAATTCTTCCAGCCAATTCTTTAAACTATGATAATCCACCAATTCATTTTAAAGTGTGGCAGCACCACAGCAGCTGAGTTCTCAGCGCGCTTTGCAAAACAGCCGCTCACTGTCGCTTGTCCATATTGGTTGTTTTTTTGCTTTTGCCTCGGATATCGTCCGAGTTAGCGCTAGCAGGTAGCCGCAGCGATTCACATACACATTGATATGGGTGTTTGTATGTGAAAGAAAATTGTTTTACGTTTATCATTATCTTACCTCTTCCTCTTCTTCAATTATTGGTGAGTTTTCTACTGACGTCGGCGCCATTATAGCTAGAAACGGCGATCGAGGCAAATATAAACGATTCCACCAGAAACCAACTACTTGATTCAGTAATTGCCAAGTTTGAGCCGCTTTTTCAGTGATGCTTGAGGTCATTAGTATACGACTTCTGATATAAACCAGATAAATCAAAAATTGCACTTGTTCCCCTTTTAGGCTGCGTCCGAATTGTTATTGTAAAATTTGGCGCTATTTTCTATTCCGTGTTGCCGACCAAGTGAGGCAGCTTTCTATTTTTTCACAGAAACTATCAGCATAGTAAAACTTTTGATTCAGAACCTACACTTCTTGACAATAAGAAAAGCAAAGCCTACTGTAATTAATATGTTTTGAAATTGAATTACAACCAAGCCAAGCGCGTCAGCAGCTGACCTGCTCCATGTCTAGTGCGTGAGCGTTGCCACCACTGTGTTGACAGCAGTTACATGAACCAGTGTTGAGAAACAAGCGGGCGGCGTTGCCACTGCGGAGAATTTTAAATTAATCAGCTGTCGCGCAATGCGCGCGCGCTCTCGTTTTTCTTGTTGGCGCCCAAAGAAAATACTGGCAATTCAATTGCATAACAATACAAACCATAACGGTATCGTTATCGTCCTCAGTCAGATATTGACGTGCTTACGCCAACGTGCGCTGCGAAGCCTGCTCCCGCCTTGTAGTATTTTCCGTGTCCGCAACGAAATAAAAAAATAAAAAAGAACAACCACACACAAAAATTGGACTATTAAAAATTCACGAGGAAATCAACATTAGGACGCGTCTGATGGCAGCATAATTAAACGAGTGTCTGCCAAGCGGTATGCCGCGCCCACATCAACGCTGTATTAGCCACCAACTTAGTCAAAGTTCATAACAGCAGCTATACCAAGAGTTATCCAAAACGTGTTCACACCCACCCGCGCCCCGCCCACTTGCTTCCAAACGGAGTTTCTGCAGCAGTTGCATTGCGGCCTGAATGCAGGCAGAATTGTGTTGCGCTTATTGGCCATTTAGTTGCCATTAAACTGCATTGAACAAAATTAACATATAGTTTTTGGACGAGGCGCATGCCAGATGTAAGTATAGCCTATCGATTTTTACTAAACAGACAGAAACCTGCAAGTCGCGTGATTTGCAATAAATATTCACTTCGGCCGCCTAACAAAATAGTCCGTGTCTGCAAAAAAAAAGGAGTAGAAGAAGAAAGTGCACTCTTTGCTTGTGCATGCATGTGTATACACATGCATATGGGCCGCAAATCCTTTTTTGGGTCACGAGGCAGCTGGGCTTGTGTGTGTTGACATTGTCCTGGTCTCTTTTTCGTACGTAAGCACGTGCTTTTTTGGCACAGGACAACGAGGCGTATACGTAACACATAAATGGCCGATTGTGTGTGCGCGCACGCTTGTCTGCATGACTGTGTGTGTAGGTGTGTGTGTGTGTATGTGTGATTGTGAGGAGGTGGAGCGACAGAGATAGAGTGAGTGAGAGGGAGAATCAGAGAGGGAATTGTGTGAGTTTTATGTGAAGCATTTTTATAGCACTGCGTCCTAGTTAATAATTCATGACGTGAACTTTTGATTTCAGTTGCTGTTGCCGCCAATTTATAGAACCGGCCATTGAACGCGCCTAAACTCGAGGCATGGACACTGCTGCCGCCGCCGCTGCTGCCGTCGTTGTTGATCTGAGCTCCGAGCCGGTCAGCAAGTCTGCTGCCAGCAAGTTGATCAGCAAGCCCAAAACTAAGCCGGCTCCCAGCTACGTGCCATCAGTTGTTGTTGCCAACGCTACGGCAGCTCCATGCCACGTGAGCTGTGAGCACGATATTGCCAATTGCCTGGGCAGCACCGTCGAGTCGATGTCTGCCTCACCACCGACAACGCCTGTGCGCATCCGCGGCATCAGTCATGAGGTCGGCCTAGCCGATGGCCTGGCCGGCGGGACCGGCAATGGCGAGCCATATGCGACTCATGGGATGGTCATGAACGGCCTGAAGGATTTGGCCGGCGGCGAGGTTGGACATGGGGAGAATCTAAGTGCAGCACTGGCCTCATTGAATACCACATCATTAACGTCTTCCACGAACGCTTCCACAACGCCAATGTCTGCCTTGCTTACAGCACCAACAGCCACAACAACAGCACCACCAACAGCCACAACAGCAGGAACAATAACAGCAACAGCAACGGCAACAGCAGCAGCAACATCCACAACAGCTTCCGGCGGAATATCAAGTGCGACGACAACAGCAACAACGACCACACTAGCAACAGGCAGCAGCAACAGCAACAGCAGCAGCAACAACAGCAGCAAGTCAACGATGGCATCGGCTAATATGGATCAGCTCCTGCATTGGCAGGACATGCCCAAATATCTGCAATTCAATCCGTATGTCCTCAAAGGATACCGTCCGCTGCAGACCTTCAAGGGCTGCCTGCTCAGTCTCTTCTATTGGCACAACGAGACCATCAACATACTGACGCACGGTAAGTGTCCGACTCGCCCCTGTCACGGCCACCCACACCACCCTCTACCAACCCGCCGTACGGCTGTTGCTCATTTATCGATCCGTTTCAATGCCATTAACAATCACGGTCAAAGCCAAGTGCAAAGGCATAATGCACATACATAAATAGATTGCCCCAACCGACCTTTCTTACGACCCACAAACGGCAGTGTGTAAGAGCTGGAATACCTAAATAATTGGTTTTGCATTTCCATACATACATCTGTATGTATGTATGTGTCTACAGATAGTCTATACACACAGAGATACAAGTACATATTAGCAATGCAAGAACTAGTATACTCCCGGCTATATCAGTTCTGCTAAGGCACTTTTTAGCTATTTGTGGCAGATGATATTTATTATTATTTAATAAACTCTGATGTTATGTATAGAATGAAGATAGAGTCAACTTTTCGTAGATAAGGGAGGGGGGAGGGGGGGAGGCAGTAGATATGAAGACATATGTAGTTAAATACAGAGTGAGTGTCGGAGGCTGTTAAGGAATCGTTATATATAGAATGAAAATGGAGGCAACTTTTGGTAAGTAAGGGAGGGGGGTGGGGAGGGGGTCGATATGAAGATATATGTAGTTAAATACAGAGTGAGTGTCGGAGGCTGTTAAGGAATCGACAAACTTGACAAAGCACAAAGTTTAAGGGGAAATTAAGAATGCGAGAGAGAGTGAGAGCGAGAGCGAGAGAAAGCGTGGAGAGACCATTCAGAAAGGCAGAGAAGAGAAGAAGAGAAAGAAGAATGGTGTGGAAAAGAGAGAGAAAAAGAGATACCAATAAAAAGGTAGGGAGCGATAAGGAGAGAGAGCGAAAGATATTTAGAGAGAGATAAGGAGAGAGAGGGAGAGGAATAGTGGCATAGCGAAATAAAGAACTATTCATAGAGAGATGTAGAGAGCAATATATACATAGAGCGAGACGTAGGGTGAAATAAAGAGTGAGTGAGAAGTACCTAATGCAACATTTTGACTTTTAGAGTTTTAATCAAAGCAATGAGAAGTCCTGGAAGCATAACTCGAGAATTCCATTAAAATTAAATAAAACAGAAAACTGTTTTTATAATGTAAGATGCACAATATATGATTTATTTGGCTTTACAGCATTTGCAGTAATTTATCATAAGTAAATCATCATGATATGTCTTTCATTTGAGTTTACAGTGTTTGCAGTAACTTATCTCATACGGAGATCCTAACACATTGTATCATATTCCACACTGATGGCCAATCGAACGTGGCCTCTAGATAGATAGCCAATCGAACTTGGCCTGATTTGATTTAACTGTTATTGCTGATAAAGGCTGGTATGCAAAGTGTTCGACCTTAAGGGCATACAAATCTCTCTATTTCTCTAAGTATTATAAATTTATGTTTGTTAGGTTCGGGCATAAAACCAATACGCTCTCTCTTAAGAATTTTAACTTGAAGAAGAATATTGTTTATTATTTTTATCACAGGAATAAGAGAGTTTCTTTCATATTTTGGCTTTAGTATATTTTACATTTGTTGCTGGGATTCATTCGTGTGCCGACGGCACATTGAAACTCCTTGGCAAACTCATCGAAATTCGAGAGCGTTCCGATAACTCGCAGCTCGCCGGGCACATGCTGATCCACGGATATCTGCAGGTTGTGAATACCAGTGTGCGCATCATTGCACCAGATCTGGGCATAGGAGATGAAGAACAGCTGCATGTTAGTGTAGTTCAGCGTGGGCAGCTTCTCCTTGAGCAGCTGCCGCCGGCCCTCGACGGTGGCGTCCAGTGCGGCTTGCAGATTGCGATAGGCGGCGTAGGCCAAGCGCAAGCCTCCATTGTCCGCAATGTTCTCCGACTGAGACTTGGCTTTGGGCAGCTGGATGCCATGGTAGACGTACATTCTGTACTGCTCCGAAAAGCAGCGCTGCCTCGTCTCGAAATTGTCCGTCGACTGCTCGTCCCACCAGTCATTGATGTTGCCGCGTGCATCGAACTTGCGGCCGGTGTCATCGAAGCCGTGGATCAGCTCGTGGCCGATCAGGGCGCCCAGCGTGCCAAACTTGATGGCATTCGGATAGCTGGCGGCCCACAGATAATAAGGCTGCAGCAGCGACACCGGCAGCTTGATCGTATTCTCCACTAGAATGTTGGCGGGTGTATAGCTGAGCAGATCGCCCGCATCCAGCGGCTTGACTGGCTGGTGCAGCTGCTCGCGATGTTGGATGGAGGCTAGCATAAAGGTTTGGCGCAGATTCTCTACGTAATCCTCTCTCTGCAGCCGCAGACCAGCGAAATCCTCGGTCAGGTTTTCATTGACATATGAGTTCACCTCGAGCTTCATAGCCGCGAGCTTCTCGATGGCGGACTCGCGGGTCTGTCTGCTGATCCAGTTGAGGGACTCGTCGGATTGCAGGGTCTGCTCGAAGGTGGACTTCAGCTGGTGCCAGATCAGGTCAATGTCGGAGACCGTGTCATTGTTGTTGTAACGCCGAAAGATCATGTTGTCCAGATTCTTGGAGAAGCTTTGCTTGGTCAGCGTTATGCACTTCTCCTGCCGTTTGGCCAGCGTCTTGCCCGGCTCCATGATGAACTCATTGATCAAGCGAAAGAATATATAATTGGCTATAACGCGTTTGGGCGTGCTCCCGATCACGTTCTTCAAATTCTGCTGATACTGTGGATTGAAGTCGTAGACATTGCCCTTGATCTGCTCGCCCAGCGATATATTGACCAATCGCTCCACGTCCAGGACAGGTCCATAGCTCTGCTGCATCTCAGCGATGGTTGACAGCTGTGCGATGTCAGTGAGGTGCAGTCCCTCGGACATATTGATCAGTCCGCGTGCCAGCTCCACCTCAAAGTCCATCAGTTCAGAGGCCAATTGGACCGACTTCAGCCGTGGGAGGCCCAAAAAGTTCTGAAGCTTTTTCGCCATATTGTTCTGATAGCTTTGTCTGTATATGGCTGTACTGTTGTCCAGGTACATGCTGCGCGTTTCTAGGGGAAACTCCTGTTGGCCAATGTAGGCCACGTTGTTCTCGTTGCTGACAAAGTCCTTGGACACCTCAACGGACAGTATGATGGGTATGGCGTAGCGATAGGCTATGCGCCCCACTGTGTCCAGCCAATCAAACTCCGTTTCCTGCCAGTCAGGAGTCAGTGCCGGCATCTTGCCGAACTCGGCTATCAAATCCTTCAGCTTCTGCCGATAGTTGCTGTCCACGTGGCGCATTGCCACGCAGGACCGATAGAAGTTTCTCACCTGCACATCCTCCTCAGTGTCGAGGTCATCGCCCTCGCTGTTCAATATACGCTTCACCTTGCGATTGAGACCTTCTGTCAGGCGCTCGAACAGACCCGTCGACATCTTATTCAACGTTGTGGCCGGATTGATGCGCGCCCAATTGCCGCAGGCGAATTTGTAAAAGTTCTGACACGGATCGACGTTCTCGTTCATGAAGCTGGCGATTTCCGCTGCCTTTGCCCGTTGCATCACCTCGTTAGCATTGCCATCATCCAGTTTGCTGCTGCCAGTCGAATGCGGTAGCAATAGCAGCAGTCCGTAAAGCATTAGCCATAGATTCTCATTTATGCAGAGCCGCAGCTTTCCCATCGCGTTGTTATTTCTTGTAATTCCCATTGTTGACTGAGCGCATTAGCTTTGCGTTTTAAAAGTCTCGATTCCACAAACTCACACACACACGCATACACAGACTTGGCGATAAATGAGAGCAGAGTTAGCTGAGCTTTAATGCGACCCCGTTTGGGTTATCTCTTCCAGTACAGAAGTCGGCGCAATTGAGATACACAATCACAAAGCAGCCGTCCAAACAATTTGCAAATCTTCAAGCTCTATATATATAAATACTTTTTGTAGAATGTACCCACGCCAATTTCCTCAGCATATGATTCAAGAAAGCTTTTACTATAGCTCATTGAAAGCGAAATTCCTCTCAAAAATTCAGTTGAATCTTAGAGTATTTTAGCATTTCAACAGTCGTAAATAGTTCAATAATTATTTCATTACAATATATGTATTTTTGTGATGCAAGCTTGCGATAAGACTGAGAATCGCTGTTCATACGAGTTGGATGCCTAGTGAAACTGGATGCTGTGCAAGTTAACAAACAATTTGACCTCACGATTCAGCTGATGGCATAATGTGCTTGTCAAGCCTAACAATCAATTTGACACACACTTAAAAAGAGTTTTCTTGTGCTTGATAATTGATTGTAGTTGCAAATGTATAGCAATTGTTGATTGGAGCATATATGGATAGTCTAACTACAATATTCTGACTATAATATGAAGGATTTAATATGCAGTTAATGCCTTAACTATCAGTTTATATTGATTTCTTATTTCAAATTTAAGGCGTCAAATTTAAAGTAGTAGAAATATAAAATTTAGATGCCCACTAAAGTCTTTTCTGTAAAATTTAATATCGTATAGAAAATGCAATAATTCCAATTTAAATTTTTGAAATAAAACACATTTAACAATCAGTTAAATATAGAAAGATAAAAATTGACCTCCAGTAACTGTCAGTTTAATTTTATTTAATATTTAAAATTTAGCAATTTCACCTCAAGTTGAAATGAAAGCCATATAAAAAATTTAACAAGCGGTTTAAAATATTTATAAAATTAACTGCCAGTTAAAGTTTTAACTATTTAATTTTAGTTATGGCAAATTCAACAATTCCAATTCAAAATTTTAAAATACAAGTCAATTAAAAAATTTAACAAGCAGTTTAAAAAAATTTATAAAATTAACTGCCAGGTAAAGCTGTAACTGTCAGTTGAATTTTATTGATTTTTGCAAATAAGAAAATTCCAATTCTTGTCATTGGAATATAAGTCATATTTTAACTACCAGTTAAGGCTTTAACTATCAATTCAATTAGATTTCTTATTGCAAATTGAAAAATTCAAATTCAAAGTTTTTACCAGCCAAAAACCTCATAGTAGCTTAGCTAGAATTCCAAAGAATACAATAGGCGCGACACACAAGTGGATATTACATATATTATATGTATATATATATATTAGAATTCATTGGGCATAATGCAATTAATGGGTATACTACGCTGTGGAGGCGCGACGTGAGCTGTGACCCAATCACGCTGCCCTCACTATGGCAATATTTTTATACAGACCAATGACCAGTCAGTCAGTCGGAGGCGATAAGGAAAAGCTCACGCCGCCGAGCGGGGCTGGCTGATGAAAGTGCGTGGCGGAAGGCGATTCAGTTGCTCTTTAGCTATGAGACGCGTGTGGTTCAGTGTGGTGGGTGCTGCGCTGCTCGCGCTGAGCTGTGCGGCTGGGCATTTGCTGTCGCAGCCCGAGCTGGACACACACATACAGCTGCAGGAGCAGCCGATATCGCAGCACAACGATAGCGCCTACGTGCAGCGCGTGATGCGGCTGGCCAAGGTGGCGGAGATGCGTAGCTATATGCGGCCGGAACTGGATGCCTGCGACGACTTCTTTGGCTACAGCTGCGGCAATTGGCCCAAGATCAATCCGGCCAATGCGGCCCAGCCGCGCGAGACCAACTACCAGCAGCTGCTGGCCAACGGCTATCGGCACAAGCAGCAGCGTCTCCTGCAGGAGCCTGCGGATCCGGAGCTCGACGATTTGGCGGTGCTGAAGCTGAAGCAATTCTATGCCAGCTGCCTGCGCTTCCGCCAGACGCCGCTGCCGCTCTATCGCCAGCGGTTGCAGGAGATTGCCGCCGAATTCGGACGCATGCCCGCACTGGCGCTGCCGGGCCAGATCTGGCCGGCCGACGACTTTGACTGGTTGGCCACTGTGGCGCAGATCAAGCGGAAATATGGAATCGATATTGTACTGCTATTGCAGGAGGCGCCCGATCCGCAGAACAAGACTCAAGCTCGGCTCTATGTGGGCCAGCCGCCACGTTCACTGGTGAAGCCACAGCCAAGTCAGGTTGCCGCTCAGCTGGAGCAGCATTTGGGCTTGGAGGCGTCGCTGGCGCGCAGCACAGCGCTGGAAATTGTGGATCTGGAATTGCTGTTGGGCAAGGGCATGGTCATCGGCATGGGGAATCGTCCATTGGGTGGGCTAGCCAAGCCGCGTTCCCCTGCCGAGCTGGCCAATGCGTATGCGCCCGCCTTGAATCTGACGCGCTATGTGGAATTGGTGCTCCAGCGCCCGTTGCAGCCGGATGAGCTGCTCTACGAGCACGGGGACAGCTATCATGCGCATCTGCTGGTTGTCCTGGCTCAAACGCCCGCCCATGTGCTGGCCAACTACATCTTCCACAAGCTGCTGCAGCGCTTCTACTACGATCGCTCGGCGCCAGTCGTGGCTCAGTGCATGAGCAGGGCAACGCAGCTGTTCCCGGAGCTGGTCACCAACCTGGCCTACCGGCGGTACGCCGCTGCGTCCACCCTGAGCGACATCGACGATGTCTGGCAGCAGATCAAGCGCAGCTTCTATAATCTATTAGAGAACAACAACAGCACGGACTGGCTATCCCCGGACACGCGTCGCCTGGTGCTGGACCAGTTGAATGCGACTCGGCTGCTGCTCAATGGATATACTCATTGGAATTTCACAGAGCGCTACGAGCAGCTGCAGCTGAAGCCGAACGATTTTCTATTCAATCTGGGCGCCGTGCTCAGTCAGCGAAATGTGCTTGAGCCACCCGCTGTGGTGCCCACGGTGCCCACATACGATCCCCTGGAGAATCAGGTGCTGTTGCCCGTGGCACTGCTGCAACCGAACTTCCTGTGGTCTCGCTTCTATCCGCGGGCTCTGCGCTACGGCACCCTGGGCACAATTATGGCGGAGCAGCTGGCCCACAGCTTGGACAGGCGCGCCGCCTGGGACGCAGCCACCTTGGCTGGGTTTGGCAAGCGCAAGGCCTGCTATCGGCATCAGTACGAGCGCCTGCGCTACGCCGGCAACTATCTGCCCTCCACTGAGCTGCAGGACAACAATATGGCTGACAATGCGGCCATACAGCTGGCGTATCTGGGCTACAAGAGCTACTTGGCCAACCTGGCCTCGTCGGCCCTGATCACGGAGCAGCTGCCGTCGCTGAGCCACACTCCCGAGCAGCTGTTCTTCATCAGCTATGCGCAGCTGTGGTGCAACGATGCCAACGAGCAGTTCCGGGACAAGCAGTCGCTGCTGCTCACCGAAACGCCCAATGCGCTGCGGGTGCAGGGCGCTTTGGCCAACACGGCGGACTTTGCCAGGGTCTTCGGTTGCTCCAATCAATCGCCAATGAATCCTGAACAGAGATGTCGGCTGTACGGCTAAAATAGAGTTTGAGATAATAATAAAGCTAACATTTCGGCTACCATTGCGGGCCACCCATTTTATTGTAAGACTAAGGCTAGGGAGTAACATTTCAGAGCAGCTGACTTAGTATATGGCGCACTTGAACTCTGGATCCATGGGCGCCTGCTGGGAGCAGTTGTAGACCCAGGAGAACTCTTGGAAGTTGGACAATGGCCCAATGACGCGATACATGCCCGGCGCATGGTCATCCACCTTGGCCACCGACGTCTTGAACAGGGACTGGACATCGTCGCACCACAGCTGGGCATAGCTCAAGAAGAACAGCTGCCGGCTGGTCAGCTCGAGGCCGGCCAGTGTCTCCTGCTGCAGCACCTCGGGCGGCTGTTGCTCCAGCCAACGTTGGTAGGCCTTGTAGGCCAGCTTCACACCCGCATTGTCGGCAATATTCTCCGACTGCAGCACGCTCTCCGGCAAGCGAGTGCCGCCGTATTTGTAGGAATGATATTGAGCCTGGAAACACTTGCGCTTCTCCTCGAACTCGTAGCGCGATCTGTCATCCCACCAGGGCGCCAGATTGCCATTGGCATCATAATTGCGTCCCTCATCGTCGAAGCCGTGTATCATCTCGTGCGCCAGCAGATAGCCCAAGGTGCCGTACTTCAGCGCCTGCGGGTAGTTCGCATCCCAGAAGTAGCGCGGCTGGAGGAGCGCCACTGGGATTGTGATGTTGTTGTCCAGGATGTTGTAGGCGGGCGTGAAGCTCAGCACATCGGTGGCCTCCAACGAGGAGGCCGGATTGTGCTGCCTCTTCAGACTGCGCTTGGCCTCCGCCATGAGCAGCTGTTGCACATTGAGCACGTAGTTTTGCCTGTCCACGGCCACCGCACCGTAGAGTCCCTCGAAGTCCTCATTGTCATAGGAGTTGATGTGCAGCTCCATGCGATCCAATTTATGAATCGCCAGCTCTCGAGTCTTGTTCGCAATCCAGTCGAGCTTGTCGCCAGCCAATTGCTGCCGGAACGTCTCGCGTATCTGTTTCCAGACCCTCTTCACATCTGCCTCGGCCTCGGGACTGCGATAGCGTTCGTAGATCATGTGGTCCGTGAGCTTCGCAAAGTGCTTCTTGGTTTGCTCAGTGCACCAGGTGCGCAGCTCATTGGGCTCGGAGTCGACTCGGTATGGCGCCAGCAGCTGCCAGATCACATAGTTGGCGATCGTCTCCAGCGGAGTGGCCTGCAGCGTTTGCAAGGTTTTGTTCAAATAGTTTTCACTGTAGATATATATGTGCTCCGGCACATTGTCCTTGCCCAGCACCAGGCCGAGATACTCCTTGATGCTGAACTGCTCAGCATACCGCTGCTCCAGTTCGGCTACTGGGTAAAGGGCCAGATCCTCTTCCAGGCTGACGCTTTCGCTGAGGCTGCCCTCGGCCAGGGCGCGCTGCAATTTGATCAGCTGCCTGGCGGTTCGCTTGGCCAGTTGCTCGGCAACGCCAAAGTAGAGCTGGAGCTGATGTGCCAGAGCCTTATCCTCGAGATTCTTCAGTATGCTGATGGGCTGCTTGTTGTCCGGCGGGCCCAGATAGACCCGATTCACCGTATGATTCTTGATGTCCGACATTATGTCCACGGCCAGTATGATTTGCTGGCCGTATTTATGCTGAATGGCCGCAATGGCGCGCCACCAGCTGAAGCTAGGGGCATTCCAACTCTCACGCTCCACGACAGGAAATCCCCCGAACTCACCATAGATGCTCAGCAGCGCCCGCTTGTAGTGAATATCTCGCACATCTGCTAGCAGACAGGATCGATAGAAACTCTGCAGCTTCTGCTCTAGCTCCGATCTCATTTCGCCCGACTGCAGCAGACGCTGCAGACGTCGATCGAATCCCTTGACAATCAGCTGAAACGTATCCGTCATTATGTTCCCGAACAGCTGAGCGGGATTCTGACGATGCCAGTTGCCGCACGCATAGCCATAGAAGTCGTCGCAGGGCGCAGTCCTCTCATTCAGCATGCCCTTCATCTCGGCCACCTTAGACTGGCGCATAATCTGCTTGGCGTAATCCGTAGTGAGATCATCGGCTACGCTCGCATTGGCCGTCCCCGATGGCAAGGCCCTGGCGATTGGGGCTGCCGTCAAGCAAAATATTGCCAGCAGCAGCCAAGCGTTCCAGCGTCGTCCTAACATGATTCCCGCCAACGATTCAACTGAGCTCCAACAGTCGCTTGCCTAGCCCCAATGGCTCACTTATCAGCGGACTGCGGCAGGTCAAACTGTTATCGCGCATCGCGAGATCTCCACGAGCTGAATAGACTCTTATACCAGCTGAGCAAGCCAGACGAAAGCTTATGCTATACATACTTCAAATGGTTAATGTTATCTCAATGTTAACATAACTGAGTGTCTGAATAGAACAAGTAGTACTATAAACGAGCAGGAATACCTTTAGCATTTAGTTGAAAAATATTTAAAATCTCAATCAAAATTAGACTTTATGAATATACCTAAAATCAGAGGCAAGCGTAGCTCTTGTTCTAATTAAACAGTTTCTAAAAAGTTTTGCTTTCCCTCATCCAGCTCTCAGCTCTCTGCATAATAATCTCAATCAAAGCGAACCAAATCTCAAGGCAAAGAGTTGACTCGAACTAATATATTTCATTTATTTCATATATGTTCACATTTCAGCATCTGTATGAATCCCGACTACATCATATGGATTATATGAAAGTCGGTATCAATAGCTATTTGTCTGCTCGAAGCAATATTACCTAATCTCTCTTATTAATAGAATTTATTATCACTATTATTATATTTTGTTTTCTATATGTTAGACTTGATGGCACTCTCTTTAAAGTCGAGCACTATTTGTTTATTTGCAGCCATACCCATATTTTATATACTGGCCATTGTTCCGGGCCTGATGCCGTGGGACAGTGGCTACAAGTTCCTCTCGTTTTGCCACGTATTTGGATCGGTGGCGCCCTGGTGCGGCAGCTTCGTCTATCATCTGTTTATGAACATCGAGAAGGGGGAGAATTTTTACTATACGCTGCTCAAGCTGGACATGGTTGGCATTTGGGTGAGCCAGAGTTTCGGTAAGTGAGCGTTAATCTCTCTATCTCTCTCTCCCTCGGTATATATATACATGAATAGAAACGCAACTAGGAAATGGCCAGTATATACGACAAATGTAAATATATTTCAAGTACAGACAGCTTAGACTATATAGAGAGCTTCTAATCAGTTGAAGGACGGCCTCAGTAGATAACGCACTTTCGCAGGGGATTCATGTGGGCGCCTTGCCGGCACTCGTAGGCCTTGGCGAACTCATCAAAATTGGCCATCATCGCGTAGAGTCTCACCTCGTCCGGAGCATGCACGTCGCTGATGGCAAGCGTGTAGCGCAGCTCTGGCAACAAATCCGAGCACCACACCTGCCCCAGGGCCAGAAAGAAGAGCTGCTGCGGCGTGTGCGACATGCGAGGCAAAGTCTCGCCATCCGGCGAGGAGTTGCTCAGCCAGTTGAGGTAGGCGGCATGGGCGATGCGCACGCCCGTATTGTCCGCTATATTCTCGGACTGCAGCTGCAGCTTGGCCAGCCGTTCGCCATTGTACCGATAGCCACTGAACTGCTCCACCAGGCACTGTTTGCGCTCCTCGAACGCCTGGGTGGCATTGCGCTCCCACCAGTCGCGCAGGTTGCCCAGGGCGTCGAAGGTGCGCGACAGATCGTCGAAGCCGTGGGCCATCTCGTGGGCCAGCGAGAAGCCGACGGTGCCATACTTGAGCGCCATGGGATAGACCTCGTCGAAGAAGTAGCGATGCTGCATAAAGCTGGCTGGCAGTATGACACGATTTAGCTCCGGCACATAGAACGGCGACGTATTGAAGTCCGCATAGAAGTAGGGGTTCGGCTGGCGCTGGAGATCCTCGCGCAAATGCTGAGCACGCAGCTCCAGCAGCCGCTGAACGTTGCCAAAGTAGTCGGCATTGCTGATCACCAGACCGCCATAGTAATCCTCAAAGTCGCTCGGCCCAGAGCCCAGGATGTGAAAGCTCATGGCCTTCAGCTTGGCCAGCGCCTCGCTCAGGGTCTGCTCGCTTAGCCACTTGGTGCTGGGCGCACGCAGCAAATCGCCAAAGGCCACCTTCAGCTCCTGCCACAGCTGGCGCAGGCTGCCCGGTATGTCCGGGTTCTGTTTCTCCAGCGACCGATACACCATGTGATCCACGAAGTCCGCGAATAGCAGCGTCGTCTTCTCCGCGCACAGCACATGCTGCTTCTCCGGGCTGGCAGCCGGCTCGATCTCGTAGTCGCTGATCAGCGATGAGAGCATATAGTTGGCCAGGACTCGCTTGGGCGTCTGGGTCAGTATCTTCTTCACCTGCCTCATATAGCTGTCCACGTATTCGTAGACGGGCAGCAGGTAGTCATGATTCAGCCAGAGCTGCACGAAGCGCGTCACATTGAGCTTGGGCCCGTAGCTCTCGCTCATGTCGGACAGCAGCCGCAGGCGGTACATCTGGCTGGGCGGCAGCTCCTCCTGCGGCTCGACGATGCCGCGGGACAGCTCCAGATTGACCTTAGCGATTTCCGCCGCTGTTTCGGCGGCCTTCGACTCACTCAGGCCCAGCAGCTGCTGCAGATTCTCCTTCATTATCAGCTGGCTGCTGTGGTGTAGCAAGACGGCCTTGCTGCTGTCCAGATCGTCCCGCTGGCCGATGAACAGTCGATTCATCTGGCTGTTGGCCAGGCCAGGACCGACCTTTACGCTCAGCAGTGTTCGCTTGCCAAAGCGATTCAGCAGACGCGCCATCATTTCGATTGGCTCGAAATTGGACTCGTTCCAATTGCTGCCCTCCAGAGCGGGCAGTCCGCCGAACTCTTTGAGGATGCCCAGCACGTGGGCACGCTGATTCAGCTGCAGTGCAGTGGTGTTCAGGCAGGACTCGTAGAAGTACTTGACACGCGTCTCGGTGGGGCTGTCCGTGCTCAGCTTGGGCTGCCGGAACAGCTGGCGCAGCCGGCGCTGATAGCCAGCATTAAGGGCCTCAAAGAAGTCCGTGCTGACCGTTTCCTGTGTCGCCGGATTGATCCTGGCAAAGTTGCCACACGCATAGCCATAGAAATCATCGCACGGCTGCACGCTCCGGTTTATGTAGGAGCGCATGCCCGCGGACTTGGCCTGCTGCATGATCTCATGCGTTAATGGTGTATTAATACTCAGACTCTCAAAGACGCCAGCGTCAACAATGTTCCGCACAGACATCATCATCAGCAGCAGCAGCAGACAGCTGATAGCCCGGCGAGTGACGGAAGCGGAAATATCTCTCATGTTGCGTTGTTTCATGCGCGATTGTCGTTCCTCAACTGAGCTTCAGCTGTCGGCGCTGCTCGTCTTATCACGGATTGTTATATTTCGCTGACCATAACAGGTGTCAATCGAATTTGATTTCGGCTTGGACAACTCATTTCTCTCTCGCTCTCTCTTCCTCTCTCTCTCTCTCTCTCTCTCTGTTTGTCTCTCTCCCTTTGTAGGTGCCTTGCCGCTGGTTACGGCGACAACACTCTGCTTTACGCCCATTCTTAAGTGGTTCATCATAACCGCATACTGTCTGCTCTCGCTATGGGGTTTGTATAAGGTAAGATATGTATATACGTTGCGAAAAGTTCGAACTGACTTTCAAAACTGGTCCTAATATTAAATTATGTTTTGCTTATTTTCTGTTTCATTTAACATCTTCCCATTATTTTATAATTTCGTATAAAATAAATCCTCAAACTTATAAATAATAATATGTACTCAAATACTAAGATTAACAGATTAACAGGCTTTCCTTTCGTAAATGTTCCCAATATTATTTGGTGTACCGAATACTAAGCGAATGCTCATTTTCTTCCCATTATTTTTTAATTTCACCCAAACTCTTCAAAATAATATATATGTATGTACGGAAACACCAAGCATACCTTAGTCTGTGGATTATCTCTCTTAACTGCTCCCAGTATTTTTTATTCCCTTTTAACATTTGTTTTCCTTCATTTAAGATAATATCAACATATGTGAGCTTAACTGAAAAATTACCTTGCAGATCTATAGAGCTCTACCTAACAGTTCCCATTATTACTTTTTGCCTGCGTTAGATAACTTAACAGGAATTTTTATTAACATTTCCCCATATTATTTCAATACTCTGTAGATCCATATAGTTGATATTTTATCCTTGATTACACATGTGGGTATAAATCTCTATTCAACAGGCACTCACCGCCAGCTCTCCGTGGCAGAGGCGTCTGTGCTTTGCTCTGCCGTTTGCCATGCGCTCCGTGTTGACCTTTCTACGGATCCGAGGAATGGTGGGCGGCAGTCATATGGCCCTTTCCCATGTCTATCTGCAGGTGCGTATGTCAAGGCATTCCAATTGACTAACTTGCTATTTTTACCAAACATTTTTGGCTGGCCTGTGCGCATCCATTACTTAGGTTGAAGTTGTAAGTTAAACTTTCATTAATTGTACACCTACATAACCTGCATATGGACCATATGGCCGTATGCAACCGATGCGATTGGTGTCCTCCGAACACCGCCATACCAATACCCCCAACCCAAATACAGTTCCCGTCATCTATTGTTACCCTCGCTAATACAAGACTCGCACAAACATTCTCTTGCATCGCTTCAGGATGGCGTCTCCATATTGGGCGGTGCTATTGGTGCCATGCGCATACCCGAAAAGTGGTTTCCCGGCCTGGTCGACTTCTATCTAAACTCGCATAATATTATGCATGTGCTGGTCGTGGTGGCCGTCTACTCCATGCATAAGGTGAACTAGAGTCAGAGAGCATATATAATACTATATAGTAATTATTGATTTATCATTTTGTCAGGCAACAATCAAAGACTTTGAATGGATGTCCACACAGACGTGCAATTCGGTGGCCAATGCCACCGTGGAACAGTCATTGACCCATATTGACCTATGACCCGCTTACTGGCTGCTCCTAATCCTGCTTCTCTCACTGTTGCTCCTGCTAAAGCCCCAACCGCGACGTGCCCGAATCAATTGGAAAATGCAAAAAATTCGCTCGCAGCCTGACTAAACGGCTGGACAGAGCTGATCAAAGCTTCAATATGCTACTCGAATATACCGTGTATAAAATGAGCGCGTGCTGTAACAGTAACAATATGAATAAGAATATATAAAT